GTGTGGTAAGGTGGAGGGTCTGAGAAAAAGAGGAAGACCCCCAACAAGATGGATTTGCCAAGTGGCAGCATTGATGGACTCAAGCATGGCAACAATAGTGAGGTTGGCCCAGGATCGGGCAGTGTTTTGTTCTGCTGTGCATAAGGTTGGTATGAGTTGGTACTGACTTGATGACACCTAACAACAACAACAACAAAAATATTCAGGGTCATATTTTGGCTCTTGTGGAATTGTTTTCATTTTCTTCAGCTTTAATTTGAAATTGCATATAAACAATTGATGGTCTGTTCCACAATCTGCCCCTGGCCTGGTTTTGACTGATGATATGGAGTTTTTCCACCATCTCTTTCCACAGATGTAGTCAATTTGATTTCTGTATATTCCATCTGGTAAGGTCCATTTGTATAATCGTTTCTTATGCTGCCTAATGAAGGATTTGAAATGATCAAATCATTAATTTTGATGTTGTTGTTGTTATGTGTCGTGGAGTCAGTTCCAACTCATAGCGACCCTGTACAGGGTTTATGAGGCTGTAAATCTTTACGGGAGCAGAAAACCTCATCTTTCTCCTGCGGAACAGCTGGTAGTTTCGAACTGCTGACTCTGAGGTTTGCAGTCCGATTCATAACCACCACACTACCAGAGCCCCTTTTGATCTTAGGTGCCATCAATTTAGGACAGAATCATTCTATATAACCAAATGTAAGACTGCAGCATCCTGTACCATCCTTACAATTGTTGCTGTGTTTGAGCCCATGGTTCCAGCCAAGGTGTTAATTCATTTTGTTGAGTGTCTTCCTATTTTTTGCTGACCTACTATTTTAGCAAGCATGATATCTTTCTCCAGGGACTAGTCCTTCCTGATAGCATGTCCAAAGTATGTGAAACAAACTCTAACCATCTTAGTTTCTAAAAAGCAGTCTGGCTGTACTTCTTTCAAGACAAATTTATTCATTCTTTTGGCAGTTCATGGTATATTTAATATTCTTCACCAACAGCACAGTTCAGAGGCATCGATTCTTCTGTCTTCCTTATTGATTGTTCAGCTTTTGCATGTATATATGGTGACTGAAAATTCCATGACTCTAGATTAGGCACATCGCAGTACTCAAAATCACATCTTTCCTTTTTAACACTTTCAAGAGGTATTAAGTTGTTGTTGTTAAGGGCCATTGAGTTGGATTCAACTCATAGTGACCTTGTACAGGGTTTCCGAGGAGCGACCGGTGAGTTTGAACTGCTGACCTTTCAGTTTAAACCTACATTGTGGCCAAACCTTATCCTCCGGCACCACAACGGGGCTTCTAAAAGAGGTAATATGCTACCATTTTAAAAGCAAGTGTTGTTGTTGTTGTTAAGTGCCGTTGAGTCGATTCTGTCCCATAGTGACTCTGCATAGGGTTTCCAAGAAGTAGCTTGTGAGCTTGAACCACTGACCTTGTGGTTCAAACTGACTTTGCAGTCTGACTCATTAACCCACAGTGCCATACCAGGACTCCAAAACACCCCCTAAAAACCCAAGTATATATGTGCATATTTATATATGTGTATGTGTGTGTATTTATAAATATGTGTACATATTTATTAAAGCGGTAATACCATATTATATTATCTGATTATTTGAAATGACATTTGCCTGGTTACTAGAATTTTGAACATCTTATATTTGTCATTCTTTCCAGTTTATATTCTTAACCCAACTTTCTATTGTATTTCTAGTGTTTTTATTATTGTGCAGGTGTTATTTCTAGATTCTTGGTAATTCAGTGATTACATGGGCAGTTTATTCTCTCGGTAATTTTCTTTTATTGTATTTCTGTTGTTTGCAGTTGAACAGGAGTTACATTTAATGAGTGAGATCGATCCGTTTTCCATTATAATTTATATTTTTGTTGTCTGTTTTCTTAGTGAACACCACATTTTCACAGTAGTATTCTTTGTAGTTGTCTGAATGTTGAAAATATGCTGTTCATGTCTGTGGCTTACATTTTTCTAGAATTAATTTCAATGCAGGCATGAGATAGGGATCAATGTTTATTCCTTTTACAAATTGTTGTTGTTAAGTGCTATGGAGTTGAGTTGGTTCTGACCCCTAACAATCCTTTATAGGTTTGCCAAGGAGTCACTGGTGAGTTTGAACTGCTGACTTTGTGACTCAAACGAACTTGTTGTCCAGTGCTTTTCCCACAATGCTACACCAGAATTCCATCCTTCACAAATCAATGAATAATTTTCTCAGCATCATTTTCCTCCCTGATAAATAATATTATTTCGTTGTTCATGTACCATACTCTGCCTTTATAAGGGCTGGAGCTGAATTCTCTGATTTGTTCCAGTGGTATGGCTTTTTTAGTTTCTCTCTGCATCATTAAAGTTTTAATGATTTTGGCATTTTATGTTTTTATCAAAGCAAAATGCATATGGAAACGTACACATATTGTAAATGGACAGATGATTGATTATTCACTAGTTCTCAAATTCAGTCTTCTGGAAGCCCTACTTTTTTCTAACTTCCGAGTTACTAAAACCTCACCTAATCTTTCTCTGTACTGACTTCTGAAAGCAAAGGTTAGTTTTACCTGGTTTTGTATTTTATATAAATGAAATCATATAGTATATTCTTTAACTATGTAAGCATCTCACTAGTTCGAGTTGTTTTTTCATCTACTTATTTTATTTTCACCGAGTTATTGTTTATAGTTGTAGATCATTTTTCTATATTTTCACTTTGTTTACCTTTCTTAAGTTTAAATAATTTGAAATTTATGGAAGATCTGCAAATAAATAGTACATATACCCCTGTCCCAACCACCTGCTCACTGATTATAGCATAAATTACTGACTTGGTATTCCATCACTCATGAATACTTTCATTGAATATTTCGTGCAAACAAGGACATTCTTCTATATAAACATCACAATGAGCCAAGCATTCATGGAACACTGCCATCACCTGATTTGGGTATCCCACTCAAGTGGTTCCATCATTCCGATGTTACTCATGCAGCAAAATATCCAAGCCCGTATCACACGCTGCATTGTATTGTCATGGCTCCTTAGTCTCCTCCAATCTGGAGCAGGTTTGATGTCCCTGAGTGGTGTTGTTAGCTTCTTTCGACTTAGCTCCTGGTTTCTGGTACAACATGCACTGTGGAATAAAAAGTTGCCTGGTCTTTCATAATTGGTTTTCAGATTGGATCCTTGTGATTTGTAGTCTTTCATTTGCTGATTTTTCAGAAGCATACCACCACATCTTTCTTCCACTTTGAAGATGAAAACAGCCCCCCCCCCCCCGAAAATTTCCATCCAGTAAATTCAATACGTGGAAACTCCCTATGTGTCAGAGTAGAACTTCACTTAGGGTTTCAACAGCTGTGATTGTTCAGAAGTAGATTGCCAAGTCTGTCTTCCAAAGTGCCTCTGGATAGATTCAAAATGGTAAACTTGCAGTTAGTAGCCTAGTTCTTAGTCATCTGTGCCACCCAGAAACTCTTCTTCGAAGATGTTGTTGTTAGGTGCCAAAGAGTCAGTACCAATCCATAGCGACCTTATGCACAGCAGAACGAAATACTGCCCAATCCTGGGCCAACCTCACTATTGTTGCCACACTTGAGTCCATCGATGCTGCCACTTGGTCAATCCATCTCGTTGGGGTCTTCCTCTTTTTCTCTGACCCTCCACCTTACCACACATGATATCCTTCTCCAGTGACTGGTCCCTTCTGACAATATGTCTGAAGTATGAGAGATGAAGTTTGGCCATCTTGGCCTTTCCAAGGAGCACTCTGGCTGCACTTCTTCCAAAATGGATCTGTTGGTTCTTTTGGCAGCCCATGGCACTTTCAATATTTCCCTCCAACACCATAACTCAAATGCAGCAATTCTTCTACAGAAGAATCTTGGAAGATATAGGCCAGTTGTTTTGTAAAGTAACAGTTATTTGTCTGCTACTTCTTCATCATTCAAAAATCTTCCTGTTATGTAGGTTTCAATCTAAAGTAGGATCATGTACTGGATGGCAAGGTTGGCTTGAACTGTAAGACTGGTGGTTCAAATTCACCAACCACTTTTCAGAAACCCTATACAAGGTCTATGTGAGTCAGAATGGACTTGATGACATTTGACAACAACAATATGAAGTAAACTATGTCACTAGAAAATCAAAAAGAATGATATTTGTTGTTCTTGTTGTTAGGAGACATGGAGTTGGTACCGACTCAAAGCAATCCTATGCACAATAGAACGAAACTCTGCCCTGACCTGGGCTAGTCTCACAATCATTGCTACATTTGAGCCCAATGATGCTGCCATTGTGCCAGTCCATCTTGACGAGGTCTTCTTCTTTTTCTCCAACCCTTCAGTTTACCAAAATGATACCTTTCTCCAGTTACTGGAGAAAGGTATCATTCTTCCTGACAATATTGCTGACAATATGTCCAAAGTATGGTAGACGAAGTCTGGCCATCCTGGCTTCCAAGGAACACTCTGGCTATACTTCTTCCAACACAGATCTATTAGTTCTTTTGGCAGTCCATGGTACTTTCAATATTCTCCTCCAACACCATAACTCAAATGCATCAACTCTTCTCAGCTTTTCCTTATTCACTATCCAGCTTTCCATGTATAAATCTACATTTTGTAATAATGAATGCTTAAAATGTTCTGAGAAAGGTGTGGTTTTATAAGCATTTGTTGTTGTCAAGTGCTGTCAAGGTCGAGTCGGTTCCAACTGATAGCGACCCTCTATAGGATATCTGAGGAGTGGCTGGTAGTGATGATGGTGGTGGGGTTTGAACCGCTGACCTTGAGGTTAGCAGTCCGATGGTCATCCTACAGCACCACAGCAGGACTCTGTGTAAACACTGGTAGTTACAAGTAATATTTAAAATCAGAGAATTATTTATTTTGTACATTGGAGATAAGTCATCCACGTTGTGAGATGCAACCACCCTGCATCGTTTTCACAGGAAGATTTGAGTGTTTTTCTGAACTGTTTTCCAGGTATCACAGCTTTACTTTAGCCACACGGGGAAGCTGTGTTCCTCTCTGCCACCTCACATCTTCTCCTGCGCCGAGAGAGCCTTTCAGCAGCTTTTTCAGGAGCAACGGCCTCAGTGTTTCATCATCAGGTACAGTGCCTGCTGCCCTCCAACCCTGCAGCACAGTTTGGCTCTCAGGGCTCGGCAGTAAAAGTGTCCACATTTCTTCTTGTGTTTTATGTTATTGGCTTCCTCAGCACTTTGAGGTTCAGAATATCTTGAGTAAATACACTTGACTGCTTACAAGAGAGAAACATCCTGTTATTAGAAATAGCCCCAAGTCGATTGGAATCAATAGTAACAAAGTTAACCTGAGTCTCATTTCATTTGGAAGATTGAAAGCTTTGAGCCCCAGAGTGTTTTTGCCTTTCAACTTTTAAAACCATGACAAAAGGAAAGTACCTATGAAGAGGAAATTGATAGAACTGTTCTATAAAATCTAGTGTTAAGCAATGCATCATTTTACTTTGTAAATGTATGTGCTTCCACTCTGCTTCTGGCTCTTAAGTTTGCTCATGTTTTAACACAATTACATACCTAAGATGTGTTGTTCTTGTTTGATTTAAAATGTATTGGTAATGTTAGCTCAGAATTATTAGGAGGCTAAGGAGTTTGTTTTACATTGGAGGATGAATCTATACATCAAAACAACGGGGATTATAGCAGGGAAAACAGGGATGAAATGTGATAGCAGTATGTAATGATACTTGATGCTGTATTGAACACATGTTTAGGTATTCAAATAAATTCTCCTTCATATCATTATGGTTTGTGTTAGGTAAAAGCTCTACAAATCATCATGGATTTGCCTTGAGTATTACCAATAATGTTGGTTGAAAACCAAATGTAAATGAAGTAGCCCCCACCCAAGTTAAAGTGAAATAAAATTGTTGTAAAGATGGGAATCTGGAAAGAATCTGGCAGACTTTTTGTAAAATTCAAGCATTTATTTACTACCTTTACACTGTAAATTCAATGAAACATTTCACTGAATGTCATATGGACAGATTGCAAACTTGCATGTTCTTATTTTCAAAATAGCTAGCCTGCCGGCAGTTGCTTAAAAACTTGTCTTCTGAAGTGTCCCAGAAACGAAGGAGGGGATGAAGGGGGTTTACCCACGCTTGAATTAGGCAACTCTATTTTTGTCTTTTTTTTTTTTTCCCCCTAGATTTTCCTGGCCTTACTTTTATAAACAGAGAAATATTTGAAGAATTGCTTTAAAAATATTGTAAAATGATGAGATTTGGAGGAGCACATGTTCATATTTGCAATAATAATACCTAGAGTCCTGGTGTGGTGCTGTACAATCAGCACTGGATGTCTAACCACAAGGTCGGTGGTTCAAATCCACCAGTCACTCCTTGGAAACCCTATACATGGTTGCTATGAGTCAAAACCAACTCAACAGCATTTAACAACAACAATCTAAAGTAACCTATTTCACTAGAAGATCAAAAAGAATGATGTTACTAAGCCTGAATCTCTGTCCATGGCAATCGTGATGAATCTCCCTTTCACTGAAATTAAGTTTCAATCTCTGATTTATTGAGAAATTTGTAAATTTATATGAGTTAGAACCCACTTGACAGCACTTTACAACAGCAACACTCTTTATTAAGCATTTATTGTTAAGTGTTGTGGATTTGGGTCCAATTCCTATCACTGCTGATTCTACCTACAGTTCCACACCAGTAGGAATTGTTCTTGTCAGAGTCCTCACCATTTTATGTATTAGGTGATTGAGTTGTGGTTGGCGGATCCCACTGAGCTGATTCCAACTCAAAGGACAGAGTAGAACTCCCCCATATAGGATGTCCAAGTCCACAGTCTGTACAGATGCCATCTTTCACTTGTGAAGCAGCTGGTGGGTTTAAATTGCTAACCTTTCAGTTAGCAGTCAAGTGCTTAGCTGCTGTCTAAGCAGGGCTCCCTGGACTCTGTATCAGATAAACTGATTGTCTAGGGTCTTCCAATTCGTAAATGGTAAATCTGGACTATGGCCCCGATATTTAGAGGCTGATGATGCTTTACTACTGTACAAACTCCTTTAAATAAGGGGGCTATTAGGAGCCCTTTACCAAACTTCCCTTAACATGAGAGTCAAAATCCTGCAGTAAAGAAACCTGCTTGTCTTTGTTTAATGAAACAATTTCAATATGTATTGGTTCATGGATTTTTTTTTTCCCTTGTAGATATTATTATCATTTTGCAGAACTAATATTCCTTTGCTACCTATATGTATTAATCGCTATGCCAATAATGGGGCAAAAATAGTAATCCCTCATTCAAATTTCAAAAGTCTATCACTTAGTCCTTATCTGTAAAGTGTGAGAACAAATCTGTGACACAGATTTGTTTTAGTTTTCTCTTTAAGCTTTTAAGATTGTGTGCCTTTAGGTAGCTCCTCTACTTCCTTGATATGCTTGGCTAAGATAAATAGCTTTCTCCACTTATACAAATACAAGAGTACCTGACTTACAACGGAGTTATGTTCCAATGACACTGTTGTCAGTTGGTTCTAACTGAAGTTGAATAATAGCTCATTTTTGTTGTTGTCTTTATTGTTGCCTTTTGTTATCAGTATCTTTATAGAGTCCATTTTTATTTGTCTTTAGGTGTTGGAAACATTACCTACAGACTTACAGATATATTATAATTCATACACAAAGAGTATATTGTTGTTGTTAATAAATTCTGGGTCCAGTTGGTTCTGACTCATAGTGGCCTTGTACAGAGTTTCTGAGGCTGTAAATCTTCATTGGAGCATAAAGCCTCATCCTTCTCCTGCAGAGAAGCTGGTGGGCTTGAACTGCTGATGTTGTGATTCTACAGTCCAGTGTTTATCCTCTAGATCTACCATGATCTCTAAAGTATACATAAGTTAAATAAAAAATTTATTGATAAAGAAAAGTTGGACCACATGGTCCTTTTGCCAGTTGTGGTGATATCTCCACTTGTGGAATCTGGACTATCACTGGGATGGTGTTTCTAATTAGAAAATTAGTGAGATTCATCTATGTGGTCCTTTTCTTTTCTTTTTCATATATTTTGTGATAGCATCTCATTGCTACTTGAATCTGTCTATTAGCTTTAGCAAAGTAATCAATATTTGATTCCAAATGTTGCTGAAGCCCCTGATTTTGTTTAGAAAAAAATCCCTGCTTACTCTGTCACTCTAAACATTTTTGATGACTTTTTTCCTTTCCTCATTATGTTTTATTTCTTCATCAGCTTTTATTTTTTCTTCAAAATCCATTAGGACCTACCTCTTCATCCTGATTTAGGAGCTGTTCCTCATTTCCACATTGATGGTGAAAAGTTCTGAATTCAGCTTTCCTGCCATATGACCACTGTTTTCACTGATTTTTTTTTTTTTCTATCTTAGTATCCTGATCAAATGCTTGGAGCTTGTTCACATAACCCAACATTTTTGTCCATATTGCATGCATTTTCCCATAACGTCCTTGCAGAAAGATGCCATGTTCAAGATACCCTGATAGTTATAAATTTTGAGTTTGTTATAATTTAAGTATGTTATGGGAACTACTTATACATTAAAATTAGTCAATTTAAATCTAGAAAAAAAAAAAAACTTTAAAGATCTGTTTTTTTGAGCATCTATTGTGTGATAATGGAGCTCTGGTAGCGTTATAGTTGTTGTTGTTAGGTGCCATCGAGTCGATACCAACTCATAGTGACCTTATGCACAGCAGAATAAAATACTGCCTGATCCTGGGCCAACCTCACGACTGTTGCCATGCTTGAGTCCATCGATGCTGCCACTTGGCCAATCCAACTCATTGGGGGTCTTCCTCTTTTTCTGTGACCTTATCAAACATGATATCCTTTTCCAGTGACTAGTCCCTCCTGACAATATGTCCGAAGAATGAGAGACGAAGTTTGCCCATGTTGGCCTCCAAAGAGCACTCTGGCAGCACTTCTTTCAAAATGAATCTTTTGGTTCTTTTTGCAGCCCATGGCACTGTCAATATTCTCCTCCAATACCATAACTCAAAAGCATCAGTTCTTCTATGGTCTTCCTTATTCACTGTCCAGCCTTTGCATCCATATGAGGTTATTGAAAATACCATGCCTTGGGACAGGTGCACCTTAGTCCTCAAGCTGTCATCTTTGCTCTTCAACACTTCAAAAAGGTCTTGTGCAGCAGATTTTCCTAATGCAATATGTCATTTAATTTCTTGACTGCTGCTTCTGTGAGTGTTTACGAATTGGGCTGCTACCAGTTTGAAGCTACCAGCTGTTCTGCAGGAGAAAGATGAGGCTTTCTGCTCCCATAAAGATTTACAGCCTCAGAAACCCTGTACAGGGTCTCTATGAGTTAGAACCGACTCCACAGTACACAACAACAATAACATTGTCTGATAGGACTCTTGGTGTGGCACCATAAGATAAGCACCACACCTCAAGGCAATGTTGGTGGTTTAAATTCACCAGCCACTCCTCGGAAACCCTGCACAGGGTGGCTATGGGTCAGAGTAGACTCGATGGCACTTAATAACAACAAACAACACTCATGACCTAGGAGTAGCATTTACAAAATATAGTTTAAGATATGAAGATCAAAGCCAACAAATATTTCTGGTACAAATGTCTTTTAGCGTTGTTGTTGTTGTAAAGTGCCTTTGAGTCAGTTCCAGGAATGGCTGTTGAACTTGAACTGCTGACCTTGTGGTTCAGACCTCCCTTGTGGTCCAGTGCCTTATTCCACAATGTCACACCAGGACTTCTGTAGCATTATACCAGGTCAGAAATTAAAATTTTCTATTTCCAAAGTCTTTCAGGTATTCATTTGCATTTTGTTGATTATATTAGTGCCCAGTAACATCTTCAGGAATAGATTTTTCTAACTTTTAGATATTCTACTTGGACCATAACTGAGAATTTGAAATCCACCATCAGTTACCATACTTTTTAAATCCCTGAAGTCCTTAATAGATCATTTAAATTACTTACTTAAATATATGTGGCAAATATCCATCACTCTAACTCTGTGCTGAGAAAATATAAAGTTAAGTTATGCTACCAAGCATATGAAATCACCGATGACATTAGCAGTGTACAGCCTGCCTTATAGAATTCTCATGGGTCTGGGATGGCCTACCACAAAGTTAATGGTTAAAATGTTATATGAATAATAGATACACATTTTCAGATAAGAAATGTTTCTTGTACAAGTTGAACTAGAATGTTTAGCTTTAATATAATGATAATTTAATACTGCTGCTAGTGGAGTCTTGGTGTAGTGCTGTACGATAAGCACTGGACTACTAACTGCCAGTGGTTCAAACACACAGCCACTCCTCAGGAACCTTAGACAGAATCACCATGAGTTGGATCAGACTCGATGTCACTTAGCAACAACAATAATTAGTGTTTATGTGACAATGCTTCCAGTAAATGAAAAACTCAAGGGAGGCAGTATCTTATTGTAGCTCTTTAACCCTGAAACTTAACCCAGACTCTAGTACAATTTCATTGGAAAGGATAGGATATTTTAAAGAAGGAAAATGGTGCTTTACCAAGATATCTAAGCAAAAATCTATAAAAACAATATGGTATGAACAAAAATCTATAAAAACAAGACTCAAGAATGATTAGAGTATTTTGCTGTGTAATAGCATTTTTGTTAAAAATGAATTTAATTCTAGAAATTCCACATCTCCTGGGAGTCCTGAGGTAGTGCTGTGGGATAAAGCACTGGACCAGAAACTGGCTTGAACCACAAAGTCTGCAGTTAAAACTCACCAGCCGTCCTTGGAAACCCAATCTAGAGTCACTGGGAGTTGGAAGTTACTCTAAGGCACCTAACAACATGGAATTAGAAGGTTATAAAATCAGAAGGTTAAAATAACAGGTTTAGAAAAGGTACTATGTGTCTTGCAAGGCCATCTGAGTCTGTACTTTACCTGTTGCTACTATAGTTTTTTTGCACAGCTATTAAATGTTTGAGGTCAGCAGAGACAAGGGGAGGAGAAGTACTCATTAACAACTTGAAACGTGAGGAAAATAATATTTTCATTAAAGTAATAATTAGTTATTTTCTTAAACATATGCTTTAAACAAATTGAATAGATTAATTGTTCCAAGGTCAGAAGCTTAAGGAAATATTAGTACAATGGTTTTATGTATTTAACTATGTATCTGTTGTGTCTTGGTCAGTGCCACCAAGTTGATTCTGATTCATAGCAACCCTGTATAGGATTTCCCAGGAGAGCTTGGTGGGTTTGAACCACCAACCTTGTGGCTCATCCTGACCGTGCAGTTCAGTGCATTATCCTGCAGCACCACACCAGTGCTCTAACTATAGAGCTGCTTGCTGTTTTTTTCCTATCAGATGAATGAGTTCTTTTTTTTTTTTTTTTAATGAATAGAATTGTCAGTTTAGATAAAATAATAATTCAATTTCATATTAGACCTTCCTGACATAGAGTAGTCATTGTAGTAGAATTTTGATATTAATCCTCTGTTGTGTAATGCCAGGTTTACTTCATAGTTATTATTTGTAGAAATCAGATATGTAAGTGAAATACATCTAGATATTATAAGAAGTTGTTATAGGTAACAGTATTGACAATTGTTGCTCATTGAAAGAAAAATGCAATCATGGGATATCAGAATTGAAAATAGCATAAAAAGACAATTGGAGTCCTGGTATGGTACTCTAGGATAAGCACGGGACTGCTAATCAAAAGGTTAAAAGTTCAAACCCACCAGCCAATCTTTGGAAAACTTACACACGGTTGCTCTGAGTTGAAACTGACTCAAAGACACTTAACAATCACAGCCAGCCAGCAAATCAGACTGATATTTAGGATCAACTGAGTGCCAGACACTTCATTCCCCTCGTCGTATCTGACAACAGTAATGAATGAGTTTTAGGAGCTTCACAACTTAGTCCCATTTTAAAGATGAGAAGAGGAAAGGTCTGACAGCTACACATTTCACTTAATAACACCTTCACTTGTTGGCTCACTCACTAGCTTCCAAGAAGCTGAGGACAAGTCCATGTCCATCTTTTCAGCCATGATTCACAGGTTATGCACGTCTACACAGTGCGATATCCTGGTAGAAAGTGCTTAGTTTTTACTGTTGTTAAGTGCCTTTGAGTCAGTTCCAACCCAAAGTGACTCTTTATAGGGTTTCCAAGGAGTGGCAGGTGGTTTGAACTGCTGACCATTGTGGTTTACAGTGCTGATTCTGCAGTACTATGCCAGGATTATGATAGTGTTTATTTACTAAAAAGATTTTTAATGAATAAATCAAATATAACAGTGAAATTAACCCATAAACACATTATCATTTGTTGGGAAGCCATCCCATCATCATGTCTGTGTCTGTCAGTTACCTCTGGCAATTTTCTGTTTTAATTACTTTCTCCAAACCAGTGTTTTCTTATCTGCTTTCCATTAGTGGTGAGAGAGGATCTGGAAAATCTGAAGCCAGCAAGCAAATAATGAGACACCTAACCTGTAGATCTGGATCCAGCCGGGGAATATTAGATTCCAACTTTAAACATGTAAGTTTTTTTTGTTGTTGTTTGGGCTGGGAAGTACTTGAATGAAAATATTGAGCCAGTGAAAATGTCATTTATAATATGCGAATGAAAATGTTGAACCAAATACAAAATGCCATTTATAAATAAATGGGGAGAGGCAGAAGAGTAGGCACAAATTTTGGTACAAATTAGTATTGTTCAATGAACTTTCATTGTCTTTTGTATACATAACAGATAGTTTGAACGTATTCTGTTTTATATTTGCTCTGAATAGTTGGATCAGAAAAAATGTAATATATAGATTATTGTTTATATGGAATATTTTGTGTATCTTGCGGGCCATTGGGCCTGATAATAAATTTTAATGGAAGTTTATTTAGAGTTGCTAATAGCACTTTGGTGTATTTAAAATAATTGACTTTTATGACCTATTGTCATGAGGGAACAGTTGCTGGAGAAGGATATAATGCTTGGTAAGGTGGAGGGTCAGAGAAAAAGAGGAAGACTCCCAACAAGATGGATGGCCAGGTGGCAGCATTGATGGACTCGAGTGTGACAGCGGTAGTGAGATTGGCCCAGGATTAGGCAGGGTTTCTTTCTGCTGTGTATATGGTCGCTATGAGTCGATTCCAACTTGATGGCACCTGATAACAACAACAATGAATATTGAGTAAAACTTGATTTTTTTTTTCTCCTTTTACCTGTTACTTTTTGTACCAAAAATACAGCCAGCAATTGAGAAGGAAATAAAAAGCCTAGATAATGACCAGGAAGAATATCACATAATAAAATTCGCAAATTACATTCAAGGAGACACCCATAAGTGCTTGTTCATAGCTAGGGACTCTTATTTCTACACAGTTAGGGGAAGTTTTGTGAATTCATTGTTCAAACACAGCTGAATAAGACACTCAAGTGGAGTGATGATCCTCTTGCAATTAAGCAAGAAGGACCACCCATCAGTAGTGAGCCAGATAAAACATTTGGTAACAAACAAACAAAAATGACCAGAACTTAAAAGCTTTTTGTTCAGGGCCTTTTCTTATAGATTTAACCCTCCATATTTTAGGATTTCCTTAGGAATTTAATGCAAAGTCACTGAACGTCCTGTTGACTGTCTTAAATTTTTAATGAAATGGAACACTATACATGTATGTGCCCTGTTATGTTAGAGGACTGGTAATTTTAGGCATTCTACCCTTATTTGGGCTCACTGACCTCATGGATTCAGTCTCATCTGTGTGCTAAAAGTTCTCAGTCCTCTCTTTAGATGTAGACCTACCTATCCAAAAGGCTACCTGGATAGTGTGATGAGACCTGGGAATTCCTGAATCCATGGACAAGGACATAGCCACAGAGGGCTAGAGCTGAGAGTGAAGCATCCAGCTGATAAGAAGTGAGGGGAGATACACAAGAATGCCCAAATTGCAAATAGTACCCATTTGACCTAACCTTGAAGGCTTGATGATCAGAACTCAACTAGAGGAAGATTAAAAAAAAATTTTTTTTGATCAAGGAAACAAGTGTAAATTGCTATAATTTGATGAATTTCACCTATACTTATAGATGTAGTAGCTCAAAATACCAACTGAGAGTGAAGGAGTCTTCACATCAAGTATCTATCCTGTCTCCTCTGGATACAGGGTTGAAAAGGACAGGTAACTTAGACACTGGCTATCTAAAATGAGGGGGCAATAAAAGGCAAAGTGACTGACTTACAATTCTTTAAGAGGAAGTTTAGTTTAAGAGCAAGGTTGGGTCCACACTGAATAGTTTTCATCTTGTCTAGATGGGACTAGTAAAAGAGATGAGGATAAAATTTTTATGATTTAATAGTAAGTAATTGTATACAACAACAACAATTGTTATCATGACTAATTGCAACTGTCACAATTGTAAAGGTGGAAGTTCTGTAACAAAAAGAAGGGAGTAGTTAATCTTATAGTCCAGGAACAGAGAACCCTAGGACCATCAAGGAAGAAGAGCATGAGTGGAATGTGATAACCTTATCCAGAGAAGCAGTTATACCAGAGATGGAGGCAGAGATGGGAACATGGAGAGAGAGAACAACTAAGGACTCTAGACTGATGATGGGAAGAGAAAAACTGAGTGCTGGTGGCCAGAAGGCAGGCTTGCAGAATGTACCCTTTGGTTGTTTAAATGATTATATATTCCTGAGTGTTTTGTGTACACCCCCAAAACAAAACAAAACAAAAACAAAGGGAATAGAAGCTAGTACTGTTGAATGATGATGCACAGAGGAGATTGTAATCATTGCAATGAAATGATAAGTGTAAAATTGATATTCTCCCATGTAAACTATGACTCAATTCACAATAAAAACTTAAAAAAAAAAAAAAAAAGACATCCTGGATATCCCACAATAAACTTTTTTCATACACATGTCAGAATTTACATCATTTTCTTCCTTCTCAACAACATCCAAACCCAAAACCCAAACCAACGTCTGTTGAGTCGGTTCCGACTCACAGTAGCCCTCAAGGACGGAGAAGAATTGCTCCATAGGGTTTCTCATGTGAAAGCTTTACTGAAGCAGATGGCCACATCTTTCTCCTGTTGAGTGGCTCATGGATTCGAGTCACCAACCTCATGTTAACAGTCAAGCACATAACTGCTGTGCCACTAGGATCCCATCTTCCATTGTTTTATCATCATTTCCTCACTCCTGTCAGCCAGAAACCTGGAAATCACTCTGATTCCAGATTCTCGTTCTACCCCCAGTATAATCACAATATTGCATAAAGCCGAGCACTTCATCCTGTTCTGTTGTCTTTGGACATACTGTCGTCACTGGTGCGGAGACCATCATTGTCCCTCCTAATACGTTTCCTTTCTTCATCCTTTCCTGACCATCTTGCCATGTACTTCTGTATGGTCTTGATTAACAGAGCAACTTCGCTCCGTGGGTCCTTTAGGGCCTAGGAATTTTTCCATTTTCATCTTGTTGCCCTCTTGTTTGCTAGGATACTGTCCCCACATGCTTGGGTTACAGGCATCTGCAGTCTTGTTTACAGAAAGGGAAAAGAAAGCACTCCTCTAAAGAATCTTGTAAATAGAACTCAGCTAAGAAAGTATAAGCATCTCTTCTATTTGAACTTAGCCATAGAGCTAAGGGAAATGAATCATGTGACCTCTAACTTGGCCTCCAGATGCTCAGCTTAAACTATTAAATGGAAGGAAAGAGAAATTGATTTTGGTGGCGTATTCACAGCCTGAATTATAACTTCTGAGTGTAAAATCTTTTAATAATTCGCTGTTCCCTCTGGATCAAATCCAAGCTTGCCAGCATGTCCCAGTATTCCTTATTACAGTACTATTTTCTTCTTTAGCCTTATCAAATCATTTCCCTGTGCTTTTATCCTGTGGTAAAGCAATTGGCAATCCGTATTCCTCTCTAACTGGTTGTGCTTCTTCATTCATTGGTTTTGTTCTTTAAACAAGCATTCAGTGAAACAAGAGATGCTGCCTCAGTGTCTAGTACCTCCCACACGCTTGGGAATCAGTTTTATGTGGTAAAAGAATATACAAATAGACCATTTCAAAGTATTTAACATACTTAAGAGACATGACGTTATCCAAGCAGGTCACCCAATTTAACTTTTGATGTTAGTAAATGAATTTCATGTAGGTAAACATTTATGTAAATTCAGGATTCTATCCATTTTATTGTGTGTAATGTTGCGGGAGATTTATAATACCAGCTTTGCCATTTTCTTATATTTATTTCAGCTGCTTTTGGTTAGATAGTGGGCATTTTCTCATATGCTTGCTCTTTTTTAAGTTTTAGGATCATTATTTGTTTATTTCTGGGCATATATAAGGCACATTTGTCAAAAAAATGTATTTATTATTTACTTAGGCCAAGAAACAGGTTTATTTATCTAAAATTATTTCAGGTTCCTAACACACACCAAAATATAAGCTTTGTTGAAAATAAAAAAGTCAGAATGCTGTATATATTAGTTAAGAAAATTATGTGTATAT